ATAAATTTTTTCTTATCTAGAAAATCTCTGGAAAACAACCAGTCCTTTCTAGACCTAAATGTGCAGCCTTTATGTAACTTAGGAAGTAATAAGATGAGCCACGCTTTAACACACTCTTCCATGGGGTTACTCGGTGAGATGCTATTAAGGAAATTTGCATATTGAGTGAATTTGCCTTCATAATAATATTGTGTGTAGAGGTTTTTAACGTATATTTCATTATCCAGGTCAATTGTCTCCTAAAATCCAGATTTGGTCCCTGCTAATATCTGACTTTTGAAAAGGAGACTGTGGATGAGATTAAGGGGATCATAATGATGCAGCTGATGGTGATCCTGAAAGGGGACTTTACAAGAGGTTGTTGTAGAAGGTATTTTGGACTAAGCTTGAGATATCAAGTGGAGTACTTTGGTAAGGAGTAAGGTGCCATTGTTGCTTTTTCTTTTCCAAACAGCAATGGGATGACTCCTTTCTGAACAGACTTTGCATTTAAAAAAAAAAAAAAATTGGATTTTAATCTCATTCTTGCACCAAAATAAAAGCTCATGGCTGACAAAGCTAACGTCTTGACCTAGAGTGACCTAGTAATATCTGGTAGTTGTATTTAAGACTTTGTACACTAATTAACCCATTTTAAACTAGAATAAAAGCTTTGACATTAGCAAGGCCAAAGGAAACTATTGTTTGATAAATTCAAATGTTTATGAAACTTAGAAAAACCATGTGTCACCTTCTCTCAAATATATATATATATATATATATATATATATATATAATCAAATAAATAAATATAAATAAATGTACATGTAAGTGTTCACATACAAATATATATGTATATAAAGGCAAAAGGTTATAGTAGTTCCAATGAGAGAAAAGTGTGTATATTAAAAAGAGAGAAACCGCAAACGTTTTTGGTTGTAATGTGGTTTTTTAAAAAAATATATTATGCTTTATTTTCCATAATTTTGCTACACGAGTTTCCGTTCTTGTGACCTTCATCAGGCAAACCATGGAGATTTCCACATATTAAAAATAATTATTTTTTACTTATGTGATGTTAAATATTCTCAATATAAGACATTTTCTATTTTGTGTGCTAGTAACCCAAATGTCTTCCTGAATTGGATATATATATATATATATATATATATATATATATATATAATCTTTAGGTGTAAGTAAAACGGTGATCAATGCAAAATAACAGAACTATTAGGTATATATTAAATATATATAATACCCCATACTGATAGTACAAATCAAGTTTCATGTACTATGTTGATTGCTTAGTGTATGAATAATACTGTTGGCATGGGGTATATATATATATATATATATATAAAAAGAAATATAATGTAGTGGTTTAGAAAAAAATTATGTATATTAAAAGCATAATATTTTTCTAAATAAATCCACATTAAAACCAAAAAACGTTTATAATGTGGATTTATTTAGAAAAATACATTATTTAAAACAACCACTACATTATATTTTATATATATATATATATATATATATATATATATATATATATATATAATATAAAATTGGGTATTTGGGCAGCAGTCCCTATTTTATACAAGTTTGATTAAAGACAAACTAACAAGGTACTATGATCAAGCTTTTTATCCAATTTTTCTTGTGTTCATATAAGTGTTTTTGTTTATGGACATAAAGTATGTAAAAACTGTTCAAATGTTCTATATATTCGAGCACTTTCGACTATTCTATTAGCCATTATCAAGATTTTTTTTTTTTTAATTTTTAACTGAATATGTAGATTTTTACATGTGTATCTATAGTGATGGGAATGCTTCTTTTTTTTTTTTTTTTTTTCCAGCATTGTCAGCACATTGTGGCAAGTCAATATTATTGAGTGTTGGCTTTTTCTTTTTTATTCTTAATCCTTCCATTAATTTTAGCCATTTTTTTTTACATGTGGATATGTCCATTGTAGTTGTATTTTCTATGACTATGTTGCAGACGGATACACACACACACACACACTCTCTTGTTCTCCAAATACAAAACCTTCAAACAGGATGAATCTTCACTTAGAAATATCATGAAGAAATACACTACCACAATTGACACAAACAAAATTAATTATCTACTCTAAAAAATTTAAAACGGCTTACCTTATCCTCAAAAATAACAACACACCAGCAAAATCAAAATTAAAATGAAGGAACATTATTTACGAGTTCAAATGCCCCTTAAGGAATTGTGATTCTGATCAAACCAAATTCATAAATAATTACATCGGTCACACTACTACATGCCTATCCAGATGCCTTACGTTACACATATCTGACCTCAACTCTATTAGAATCTATTTAAACGCACACACAAACTTGCCAGACTCCATCTGAAACATACTCGTAGAAAATACAAACATAATAACCTCATCCACATGTAACAAAAGATAAAAAATAATGGAAGCCTTAATAATGAAAAAGAAGACGCCAACACTTAATAATATTAATTATGAACACAACCACAATGTGCTGACTGTGTTCATAAAATAAAAGATCACTATAACTCAAAAAACATACACACAACCCATACACCTAATTAAAAAGTAAAAATAAAATCATCCTTGATAATGGCTAAAAGTATAGCTGAAAGTGCTCGGAATTACAGAACAGTTGGACAGTTTTTACACACTCAATATCCAAAAAAGAAAACATTTGTTCAAATGTAAGAAAAAATAAATAAAAAGTTTAATCGCAGTACCTTGTCTGTCATCTTTAATGAAACATTAATATATAATTTTACATTTCAAATTTTCCTTAATTCTGTTTCAAGTTTTATGGAATTCCAATTTTTCTCGCTGTTTTCATTATAGATTTCTGTTTTTGCTTTATTATAATCCTTAGTGAGAAAGTGTAACAATATATAAATGTTATTAAAACAAGAAAATAAAAGGAAAATGAAAAATTTTAAAAGCTCGACTATCCATCCATTGGATAATTTATTCCAGCTTGATAGGGTTTCAAATCTCATACTTCAGCCCTTAATCTAACTTGATATGAAAAGATATTAATAAGTTCAAATACTTTTTAAGTAAAAGTATCAACTGATCATTTTTTTTTTGTTTTTGTTTTCACTCCCAAAATTTAAATCTGTAGAGGTAGTGATATAAATTAAAATTTAATTTGCTCTATGAAAAAAAGTGAAAATCACACCAAACTGAGCAGTCAGCCATGTTTAAAATCTTTTCTCCAGATCTCCATTAAAGTACAAGCATCAAAACTGTTTGGTATTTTTCTGAGTTAAGACCTTTGTGTCCATCACTGAGAAAATGTTTAGATTGAGAAAATGAACATTCAATATCTACACAAGTAACAGGCATTCATATAACTTTAGTGGCAATCTGTGACAGAATGGGAAATCTGCTTTTATTGGCACTCCAAAATGCTGTAGAGATTTGGTTAGTCATCTTTGTAGTTTATATAAATTTGAAATTATCTTGCAAATCTTTAATGGTTACAAAACTACCAATGTCATGGTTAATACATGATGGCTGTCCAGGATTGAACAGACGTGCTGAGTTGTAAAACTCATACACTGCCTACCTGTAACGGCATCCACCCAGGGTGGGTTGAGCCAGCTCCAATATTGGAGTTTCATGGGAATTTGGAATTCACAAGCGGTCCCCAACCCGCATGTATAGCCCATGAGATTTGATTATAGTGGTGAAGGTTTCGTGCAGGATCATCCACACTTTTTGAAGGGCCGATTACAGAGACCTGGTGCACTACATGCCACAAGGTCCCCAAACGACCCTCCGCAGGTTTTGAATTCAGAGTTTTCCTTCTCCTAGACCAGTTGCCATCCAAGGCTATAGAACCCAGTCTGTCATGCTATTTACCCATAGCTGGAGGGAGAAGAAGAGGATTCACACCTTTCCCAAGGGTATTAGCACGTAAGTGAATATAATGGATTCGACTGGAATTTGAACCCGGCTCTCCGATTCCTCAATCCAAGCCGCTATCCATTACTCCACTAGTCCTGCAAATTTGATGTAACCATATTCCCCTCTGTGTTTTCCAATTCAGACAAAAGACATGTTGTTTTCGACCAACCACTATCAAGGTAATGCTTTAAATCTTTCCTTAGGTTGTACATAATACATGTAAGTGGTGACTTGAGCTCGTCTAAGCCTGTCAAGGCTTTTATTAAACGAGTGCAGATTGAGACGTTAATTATGGTATGATGCATGGTGCAGTTTACTATCCTCTACTACTTCCAAAATTCAGTCTATTGCCAAGCCGTGGCTTTTTCTTGTTTGAAGAATCCTTCATAAAATTGAACATATGAAAAGTGATACTTGGCTTAATTGAGCCATGAATTTCATCGGGTTACCACTGAGACAACAGGGATCTTCACTAGTTACTTATTAGGTAAGCTTCAAGCCATTTCAGATATAGCTGTTTTTGTCCAGGTTTTTTTTTTTTTTTTTTAAATCTTACTTAAAGTATTGAGTTGAGCAACATTATCAAATTGTGGCCAGTGTGAGAATGCCTCACCGACAAGGTGTAAAATGTGTACTAAACACAAGACATGATGACTGCTTACAAATATATTAAATAAAACATCCCAATGCGCCTTTTTACAATACATTGTTGAATCAGAAATGCAGTAATGTCAACATAAGTAACAGCTCGGATGCAAGCCTGGCTTACAGTTTGATGATTGCATTCTTTCAACATTCATAAGAAATGGCTCTCCTCGAATGCTTTCAAAATACTGTGGTCAGTTGTTTTATTTGTTATGATACTATTAATAGTAATAATGAAGAGTGTATTGAGTTTGGATAAAAAGTAACAATAGTTTTGCTGGAGGAAGGATTATTCTGTGAGTAGGTAAGTTTAGCCACTTATGTCCTCCAGTTTTCCATGATTATCTTAACCAGAAATATTACTGGCAGTAGAAGATAAAAAAAAAAAAATGCTTGCATTATTTTATTTTTTTTTTTCCTTTTCTCTTTTTTAAAGGTTGGCTGAAGTAGGACTTTTAGAAACTCCCCGAGAACGAGGTCGTGCCTATGAAACCGGACAGGTATTTATTTTTCATTTTCTTATTTTATGTATTTTTAATTACATTTTTTTAAATTAATCCTTTACAAGGAATTTATTGCTCTTATTTTTTTTTTATTTAACTTTGATTGCAATTCTCTTTAAACTTGGGCACAGGTGAAAAACCTTGAATGAGAAAATCATAAATTCTTGTTTCTTCTCCTTCTCCGAAGTACTTATATAATAATGGGCTGTGTCCCTGCAAGATGTAGGTGACCATAGCTCTCTACAATTTCCTGTCCAAGCTCTTTGTTACTGATTCATAAACTGACTTTATGATGTAGTAAAAAAATAGCAACACGCAATAACAAATAAAGTTGACTTATGCAGCTGCTACTGCTGCATTAAAGAACAAACAAAAGCAAACTTTACCATTGAAAAGTGTGTTTGTATATATATATATATATATATATATATATATATATATATATATATATAGTCATCCACAGGCAGACTGTTTTGCTGTATCACAGCTCATTAGTGTGGCTAGAAATCCAATCACCTCAAGCCATGATCGAAACCCGACTGATTTCACATCAGTCAGAGATTTTCCCCCTGAGCTATCGGCTCTTGGCAGAGAGGAAGGTGAATTTTTATGCATTTATTTTGAATAAACATGCCAGTGACTCAGAGTGTTCGATTCATAGGAGAGCTTTGCATTATCAGCAGTAGCAGTCACTGTTTGCAAATTCGCACTTTCTCTCTAAAGTGCTCAACCGAAATTTATCTTTTTGGGGGTGTATAAATTTAGTCATGCACAGACAGACTGTTTCGCTGTATCACAGCTCATCAGTGTGGCTAGACATCCGATTGCCTCAAGCCAGGATTGAAAGCCGACTGAATTGGCATATATATATATATATATATATATATATAAAACGTATAACACACACACAGACATATATATAACAGAAGATGTGTATGTGTATGGTATTTATGCATGTCTACATTTCTTGATTGATTTTAATGAAATTCTACACACATGTTGCAAATTTACCAAGTTAGGTCAAGACCCACTTTCCAATCTCCATGTTCCTCGGGTTTGGCAGAAAAATCAATAAAACTGAAGGTGGGTATGACCTTTTGCAAAAACCAAGGCAAAGTTACACGCAGGCAGACATTTCTCGACAGGGGGTGTGGGTATACAGGCAGGTGCAGTTATACAATTGCAGCCTTGGCTAGTATATATATATATATATATATATATATATATATATATATATATATATATATATATATATATAAAGTGTTGACAAAAAATAAATAATTTTTTTGTTCATAATTATAAAATAAAAAGAATATACACTAGTTAATATCAACTTATAAAAAAAAAAATTCCATAATATATTTTTCGATGTTCTTGCTTTTCCTTTATCTGATTCATATCTGAAAAAAATGGCATTTCATCTGAAGAAAGTTTGAAAGTTAATGTTCATTCTAAAAACTATAGAAAATACCAAAATATTCCTTGTCTTCGGGAATAGTCATATCTTATCTAGGGAAGGTCCCCAGTTATTTCCATTTAGCCTCCTGTTTCTAATTTAGCCAAATTTTCTAATCAGCTACTATTTTCTATCCAGTTGCTCATCACCCACCAAACAGTTGAAATTACCACTGGTGGGCGATATCACCCAGGTTGGGAAATGCTGATATAATTGTTCCTTTAAAATAGTTTTGATGTGAAGTTTAGTGCAATGTTTAGTGTCTCTAAGTAAGAAATCTGTGAGCCATTTCTACTGGAAAAGTGGTGACACCTTGCTGCCAATCAAATTTTGCATTTAAATTCATAAAGTTGTACCAAAGAGAAAAGCTCATCAAAACAATTACCATGAAAATATTTATAGCAAAGGCAAGTGAAGCCATGTTAAAATAGCTTACGTAAAATTTATACACCTCCTGAGAAAATGTGTAAAATATGCAGTCACCTTCATACTAATAAGTTTGGAACATGTTAAAACTGTGAAGAGATAGACTACTTTGATAGTCTTGCATCTCTCTCACTCTCTCTCTCTCTCTTTGCATCTCTGCTAGATGCCTTAATGTAAGTTTTTAAAGTGGCTGTGTAAAGCGTATTTTGTTTCTCTCTGAATTTTGGGGATGAGGAGCTAACATAGGACTAATGTCCTCATCTTTGTTATTTTAACAATATTTTGTCTGTTGTGTCCTCTGTTACATCAGGAAATCTTGAACTGAACCCTTTATTTAATCTATGGGGGTAGATTGTTCATATTCTGCTGTTCATAACTTGTCTTGTTCGTTAATCCTGGGTATGATGATAAACTACATCCGGTAGCAAGAACACTAATCAGGAGACTGAAGGTTTTGAGGAGCAGGGAACCACTTCTTAATTACTGTTTTTCCTGGGTCCACCTTGACTTGGGGTGGTAGGTCCCAGCTATGGGCAAATAGGGAACACTTATGGAAAACACTGAAAGTATAAAAATACATTTTTTATAGTAAAAATACTAGCAATACATTTTTATATAAAAAAATTACCATCAATACACTTATTGTAAAATTATCAACAATACTTAGCTATGGTAAAATTGCCAAGAATATAGTAAATTTATCAACAATACACTGTATTTATAGTTGAAGGTATATAACTGCATTAAAAATATATTTAGTTGAAGCTATAAAATTATGTTCGAAATATTTAGATTTCAGTATTAAATAACCCATAGAGGTGTTGATATGACACTAAACAAAATCAACTAACCAATCTTTCTTTCATACGGTTCAGTTATTGATAATTTTGTTTCCATTCAGTCTGTACTTCTGCATGTATTTCTCTGTGTGTCTATCTCCCTATCTGCAAGCGCTTCTCTGTGTGTCTCTCTGCATACACTTCTCTGTGTGTCTGTTTCTCAGACTGCATGCGTTGGTCTGTGTGTGTCTGTCTCCCTGTCTGCACGTGTTTCTCTGTCTGTCTATCTGTTGTAAAGTCGTTTTCACACTGGAGGCTTGTATTTCACTAAGTCGTCCTAAATTAGGTTCCGATGTACAAAATGTTAGGAACTTGCAATAATAGTTAATGACGCAGCAATCTAGTTGTGATGGTTGATACTTCAATGTCCGACATCGACTCACTCACTCAACTCCACTGAGCCCAACTGGCGACCACTACTACTACTTATTATGTGTGAGAGAGTCTATTACAATAGAATAGGTAATGTTCTGGTATAACACTATCTGTCTGTGTGTACATCTTTTTGTGTCTTTGCTCACTTCTCTGTCTCTCTGTCTACATGTGTTTCTCTGTGTGTCTGTGTGCACTTCTCTCTTTATCTGCATGTGCTTCTCTGTGTGTGTGTGTGTGTCTCTCCCAGTCTGTATGCACTTCTTGGTGTGTCTTTCTCTGACTGCACATATTCATTTCTCTCTCCATCTGCATTCTCTCTGTCATTGTTCCTGATTTTCATTACATTTTCATTTATTTATCATGGCAGCTATTTCTCCACAAAGTCTTTGGCTACAGAGGAATTGTCTTGTTCCCATGGCTAGCAAGAGTCTACGATCGCGATGCAGGAACTAAGAATGAGGAAAAGTGAGTAAACACTTTATCTGCTCAATTTGAATGGTGGATATTGTACTATAATAATTGTAATGCTTATGGGGGCTGAACTTTGCATTATTTAATGGCAGAAAGAGGCCTTATTTGAAAATATTTCTTCCATCTTAATTTCAGTAGCTCTCCTAAATTCTTCTGTCGTTAGTATGCACTGTAGACGGGAAATATGTCTTCCTTTCACTGATCTTCAAAATTAAAATGAGCTGAAAGAAATACTAGTTAGAAAATTGGTTCGTATTTGGTCCACCATGAACAGAGGCCAAATTTGAAGCTGGACATTAGGGATATATTCATAACCCATTGTGAAACCAAATATTGTCTCTTTCAATACCTTTTTTATCTCTCTTTTTTTTTTTTTTTCTTTTTTTTTAAAATATCTGCTAAGTTATGTATTTTTTAAACATTGCCAATTTTTCATATTTTATAGAAATTTCATCTCTCTCATTCATCATAAGATTTAATAGTAGATATGTTTGCCCATTGTCCAATTCACACTCCTCCTTGGTTTTTTGAACAGGAGTAGAGGTTTATCCATTGTTTCCTGTTTAGGATTGGGTTTCCGATTCTTTCTAAAGTCTTCTTCAACTCTATTCTTTTAATGTCTCTGCCTAAACGCTGAAATATTATGGATGCTCAACTCAATGGTTACATCATTGTGCATATCATGTTGAAACACTGGTTCCCGTACAGTTACCGAAGTTTATCAATGTCAAGCCTGGTCAGTACCTAGATGGGTGACTACTTAGGAATATCAGGTGCTATAAGCTTGGATGTGCAGGTGGTGTAATGGATAACGTATAAGGAATGGAAATCAGAGAGCTGAGTTCCAATTCCAGTCAGGTTTTTTATTATCAAACACCTTTGGGAAAGGTATGAATCCACCTCTTCTCCTCAGCCATGCGTTAATTAGTATGACTTGTATCCCTAAACCATTATTATCTCTACCCACCCCCTAAGAATTCTTACAGTCTAAAAATATTTTCTGGCTTTAAGTAATCTATCTGCAAAAGGTTGATAAGCTGTATAAAATGAATCATTTAGACATAGTCTCACACTTAACCAGTCTTGAATGGTAGACTTGGACATGGAAATAAAATTGTCTCAGAGACTTAGTTTTAATTCCAATTCCAGTCACTTTTGTTATATTTGCTTACACGCAAATACCATTAGGAAAGGTATGAATCCACCTCTTCTTACCCCCAGCTATGGGTTAATTAGTAAAATTAAATTGTTTCAGTTCTAGTTGTGTTCCTTATATTCACTTAGATGCAAATACCCTTGGGAAAGGTATGACTCTACCTCTTCTCCCCCAGCTATGGGTTAATTAGTAAAACCATAAAAAATGAAATTGGCTAATCACTCAATTGCATATATGACCAGAGGGAATATAAATAAGGACCCATAATAAGTCATCTGTCAAAATTTTTTTTTGCTTTCCCCTTTGTCTTTTGCTGAGAGCCATTCCTGTTCACTCTTGACTAAGTAATGCTCAAGTCCTCCTGAGGAAATGCATAATTTCTCATCTGTCATATTGGTCAGTTTTTGTGTTTCTTAAGATCTGGCATTTCCTGTTCCAATTCTTCAGTCAGTTTTGTGCCATGCATGATACATGCTTAGGTGATCATGTATCTTTCGATACATGACTGACAAGGCAGTTATTTTCCCCATAGTAGGTTGTCATTTCTTTCTGCAGTAGATCAGTTGCCACCTAAGGCTATAAAACGTGGTCTGTTCTGCTATTTACCCATAGCTGGGGGGAAGAAGAAGAGGATTCATACTTTTCCAAGGGTATTAGCACATAAGTGGATGTAATCGTTTGACTGGAATTCGAATTCAGCTCTCTGATTCAATCCTTAGTTTTCCAAATTTAGCTTCAAATGATGAGAAAAAGTTTATTTTGCAGTAAAAGATGATATATATATATATATATATATATATATATATATATATATAATGAAATGGACTAAGTCCAACAATTATTTTAATATATATATTGTTTTATATGTTATTTTATGGATACAAATATTTAAGTAAATGCTCTGTTTATAATAAACAGTATTAACAACATTTACTGGCCTGAATGTCCAAGAAATGTTATAGAAAATATGTGTCCTCCGGCAGGAATCGAGGTTGTATCCTACATAGAACCATTATATAGCCTAAGAAATCATGGGAATTTGTAGTTTAAAAGCAGTAATTTAACCTTGCTAACCAGATGCTTCCTCTGTAGCTAGATGGTATAGCACCTCAGGTGATATGATGGTTCCATATAGGATACAGGTTTGATTCCTGTTGGAGGACATATTTTCTATGAAATTTCTCAGACATTCAGGCCAGTAAATGTTGTTAAAACTGTTTACTTAAATATTTGTATCTATAAAAATAATGTATAAACAATATATATATATATATATATATATGTAATGTAAGAGAGAGTGAGAGATGATCCCAGCTTTTCGCTGTTAGGAAGTTCCTGAAGACTATACAACAGTTATGAGTGAATTTTGGTAGGCAGAACTATTCAGAGGCTATTGATATTTGTGCTAGAACATACATCATCACACAATAACACTCTACCTTAAGTGGCTATTGGGCCTTGTATTGCGTAAACATTAATAAAAAACAAAAAATTAAAGCCAATAGGAAAACACTACACTATCAGAAGTCATAGCAATTCACATATATTAAGGAAGAAAGGAATCTATGGAGAGCCATGACCGTTTATGGCCTGAAGAAAAATGGCGTTGTTAAAGCAGGAAGAAGAATAAACTTGATGTGATTTTTTTAATTTTTTTATTTCTCTTGGGTTTTGAGGTACTTTGCTTTTGATGTCAAGTAGTGTTCCACATTTATCTTCTTTTGGAAGTAAAAGTATATCATAGATTTATACTTGCATGATGGATTTAATTTTATTCTTGCAGGCCCCCGGAGGATGACACAACAGTTGTTGGCAAGGAGGTCAAAGGTCGCACCCATCTATATTATTTGGTTTTGGTTGACTCCAGAGATTGCCCCTATATTGTAAGTACGGATTGTGTTAGTATCTCCCCCAGATTTTAGAAGGACAATTTTTCATTTTTAATGGTCATACAACTCATTTACATTTGTGGCTGGCAATATTTTCTGTAATTTGCAGGATTTGGGTATTTTTCTTATCAAAAAATGAAACTAGATATGTTTTATAAAAAAATAAAATAAAAAATGAACTGGATATATTTTTAAGCTTAGCTCCGGATCTTGATTTAACTTTGGCACATGTTATATTTTTTTTATTATGCCTTTAAATTCCTTGGGGAACATAGGGCGGCAACATATCTTTATGGTTTCAATTACAAGCTAGTTTTTTTTAAATGAGTAGGTTGTTAGCCTATTGCACAACCCCCAATCTGGAGGGTCATGTTTTGAATTCAGAGTTAGACCAGTTACCACCCAAGGCTACAAAACCAGGTCTGTCCTGCTATTTACCCATAGCTGGGGAGAGAAGAAGAGGATTCATACTTTTCCCAAGGGTATTAGCACATAAGTGAATGTAATGAATTCAACTGGAATTCGAACACAGCTCTCTGATTCCTCAATCCGAGCCACTATCCATTATTCCACTGTGTCTTTGTTTGTTTTTTTTTACTATCTGCAAATAATCATAACTTCTTGGAAAAGATAGTGTTGCACTTTTTTGTTGCCTTTTCTGCAGTTTTGAATTTTGAATTCAGAGTTGTCCTTCTCCTAGACCAGTTGCCACTCAAGGCTATAGAACCTGGTCTGTCCTGCTATTTATCCATAGCTGGGGGGAAGAAGAAGAGGCTTCATACCTTTCCCAAAGGTATTAATACCTAAGTGAATGTAATCGATTTGACTGGAATTCAAACTCTCCAATTCCTCAATCCAAGCTGCTATCCATTACTCCACTGTGCCTTTGGCATATGGATCCATAAAAAATTAGAATGTAATTAGGTAATTTTCAAAATGTAATCAGTTTCCCATTTTCTTTTCTTTTTAAAATGATTATTTGTTTACTAATTCTTTCTGGTAATATTCTTATTTTGTCAAAAATCTATCACAAGAGGTTCTAATGCATGAACTGTTGAAATGAAACTTATATTGTGGGGATACCCTATTGTCCCAAGAGATTCATTGAACAATCAGTCGTCCTTCGTTGTGTTTCATTTTATTTCTTCTAAGATGACTTGCGGGTAGAATCCACTTTTATTTTTCCAACAGGACTTCCGGTCGGATGGTGGTACATATAACACTGTGACTTGACATGGCAACCAATGGATGCACTGTACCAGGCTGGCAACATTTTCTGTACAGATGAAGAACATCCTCCTTCTCACAAGTCTTCTGTTTTATATCTGTGCTCACACTACCTAAACAATGAAACATCTGATCTTTGTACCATCTGTGTATACGTTTAGCATAAAATAGACAACAGTATTATTTACTCAATTCTACTTAAATTAAGTAGGTGACCTAATGACAATAGTGTTATTTATCTGATTTTACCTCAGTTGAGTAAGGGAATTCATTAATCGAGACAATAAATCTCATACCAGACAGCCGCAGTGTTACAATATGAACAGTTAAAAGAGCCCTTCTGTGTCATTTCTTAACTATTCTGTCTTTGAGAATGCAATTTTTTTCTGATGTTTACGTTGGTCTGATTTAATAATGATCGGATACCACTAGTATTATTGTCATATAGGAATAAAGTGATGCTTGGGTTTGAACATGGATTGCCAGAGTCAACCTCATCTCGAAATAATTAGATCGTGTGACAGGTAAAGGAAAATATATATTGGAATTAGCGGCGTCTGACCAAAAATATTTTTTTAAATGTGTTATTGTTAACAGATACAAACTTTTGAAGCATGCAGTCACAATGCTAAAGTTGAATTTTTTGGAAAATTTAAGAGAGTGCTTTTTTTTTTTTTTTTTTTTTTTTTTTTAAATATATATATTTCGATTTGCATTTAATTTTTTCGTCTTGGATGCTACCTGAATTTTACTAAACACAAAATAATTTCCATGCCTGAGGACGACTGAATGTACAGCTGAAAGTACTTGCGTATTAAAAAAGACCTTATACAGCTCATAAGTATTAAAAATAAGGATCATAACATTCATTGAATGATTTATATAGGTTAATGAAATTTTAAAATTTTGTTTGCGAAAGGATTTTGCCATTTTATATCATTAATTTTACTAATCTACTTTTTGTGTGAATGATTCATTGTAATATAAATTGAATTGCACTACATATTTGATATATATATATATATATATATATATATAAGAAATCTATAACTACCTCATTCAGAAAATAACTTTTTTCTTTTTCTTTCTCCTTTTCTATCTTTCTCGTCTTCTTTTTCTTTTACTCTTTAAATGTTTAAATTTTAAGCTCTTATCTCATTTCCTAACAGCTCTGAATTGATAAGGTCCACAAGAAAATCTTGTGGATCGAAATAGCTATTTTCTGAATGAGGTAGTTTTGGATTTATTATCTCTGTATTTTATATGCTCTGTTGTAATAAATACATTGAGCTCTTTTTGTGGATCAATTTTAATATTTCATATTATTAGGATTCACTTATATACGTTTGGATTATTACACACATACCCATGGGCTGGGTCTTAGATTTTTTTTTTTTTTTGTTGTTGATTGGATGATTAAGATTGAGTAGAATCTGTTCCATGTATGTATTTGTATATGTATATATCTTGGTAAGGGAAAATAACAACCGTTACTTACCATTTCAAGCCAAGTGCTTTGCTATATTCCTTACCAGATCAAAACTGTTACTGCATTTGCTTCCTTTTTTATGGAAGAGCCTAGATTGCTGGGGAACTGGAAGTTATCCGTGATTGGACTATAAATTGCCAAGAGGAGACGCAGTGTGTGTTTAAAAATGAGGAAAGCTGTAACTGATGGATGGCACACAGGTCGATACCCGATCTGTGTCGGCTGGGTCACCGTGGAGAGGAGGTATGATGTTGAAAGGCCCGAAACTCTTAATGAACCTTGGTTAGAAACACCACTGATGATGCATGCCAAAGCATCAAACAGATGTATTTCACAAAATAGGATTTGGGGGGGGGTCGTGGGGGGGTAATGTTTTGTCAAGCTCTCCATTCCTGTATTAAGATTCTTCGTTTTAGCTTGAGATACATGCATTCCAAAAGCTGGGCAGAATATTGCAAGACAGGAGGATTTCTTCGGTAACAAATAACAAAAATACTGAGCTGTTACGTGACATCTGTCCTTCTTTACGGCAGTAAATGTTGGATGATTTCCTCAAAAAATGAAGAAGAGACTCTAGGCAACAGAAATGTGGTTCTACAGAAGGATGCTAAGGATATCATAGATCGAGCGTGTGAACAACGATGAGGTCTTAGAGTGGATGCAAACAAGGAGGAGACATACTTAACACCAGGAAGAGGCAGCTGAAGTTTCTGGGACACATAATGTGGAAGGAGGGTCTGGAGAATTTGATACTCACGGGTCAAGTAGAGAGAAAGAAAGACAAGGGAAAACAACACGTGTCATACTGGGTGGGTTTAAGCAAGTGGTTGACAGAACGTTGTCTGGGGGAGGTGGCAGAGGGAAAGAACGTTGAAAGCTGCAAGGGATAGAGAGGAGGTGAAGAGCCATGATCACCTACGTCCTGAAAGGACACGGCACATAAAAAGAAAGAAAGAATTAAATAAGAAAAATGTGCAATTTGACAATTTGTTTTTTTAGCTTGCTTGAGATTTTTCTTTTTCTTTGTTTTTTTTTTTTTTTTTTAATTTTCTTTCCTCTCAAAATCGATACGAGAACAAATCATTTGAGATAATTTCATTTTTTTAAGGGGCTTAAATTTTGTAGCAGTCCTATGCATTTACTTTAATTGTAAGTCTCCTTCTTAGAATTTTAACTTATTTTACTTTTTTTGCTCTTATTATACAGAGGGCTCAAACTGAGGCTGTGACATTTCTTGGAAACCAAGAAAATAGCCGTGCTTTATACGCCATTTCTGGTAAGTAAATTGATTCAATTTTACAAAACATCAGTGTTCTTTTGATGGCTGTCTGAACTTGGGATAGTAAAAGATGCCTTCCAAAATCTAAGCAAAGTATTAAGAAACAGAAAAATTCCATTAGAAACGAAGGACTGCTGAACTGCTATGTAATATCAATCCAACTATATAGTAGTAAATGCTGGACTGTTTCTTTGTGGATTGAGTGGAATCTTGTGGCGACAGATGGGTTCCTGCAAACTGATTCTAAGAATACTAGGGTTGGAGCATGTGAACAATGAGGAAGTTTTAAAGAAAAATAGGAACAAAAAAGACACTTGTATTTAAAATCAGAAAGAAGCAGTTGAAATTTCTGACATACAATGAGGAAAGAAAGCTTTGAGAATTTAACACACTCAGGATATATAAAAGGCAAGAAGGGCAGGTGGAAACAGCAAGTAATAAGCTTGTATTAATAATCTGGGAGTCGGTAGGACATTTAAGAGCAAATATTGCTAAGAACTACAGGAAATGATTTCTTACATGATTTCTCATGTCCAGAAGGGACACAGCATATCAATGAAGAAAAAAAAAAGATTTCATACTATAAGTTGTTTAGATTATTGATCTGATACCACAACAATTCTACCAATCTATTTTCCATAAACTAATGACAGTAGCTATTGACTGGGCCAACTGTGGGACCAGGTTGCTAGTACAATGTTTGTTATTAGATGATGCTTAGTTTTGTATTTTGTTTTTGAGATGAGAAATTGTTATTAAACATTATTTTGGACTATTGTTCTCATCTTGATTATTATAGATATTACTAGAGTATTGGTACGATGAAAATGATGGTGATTGTTATAAAGATTTAATATTGAGATTCAACGAAACAAAATCTTGAAACAATAATATTGCGATTCAATAAAGCAAAGATAAAGAAGTCATTTCTAAAATAGAGGCCAATGAACCGTTTAATTATTCCACTCCCCTTATATTTTTTAGACATTTAACAGTATCGATGATTCATTGATTACTCCTGGTATTATATAAATCGCTTTTTTGCTCAGTATATTTTCATGTTGAAATTTTTATGTGTTTAATATAACAGTGAAACGGAAATATCTCTTGGAAGAAAAAGATTAGCAACCGGACGACAAAGCCTATTTCAAGACCAAGTTGAAGCAAGATGATTACTTAATAGACAAAGGTGTCATCTAAGTGCCACACATGAAAGGCTTGAACAAATAAGACTGCAATCTAAGAAATGGAGGAGTAAAGAAACTGATTAATTAAATGGTTCATTTTACTTGGAAACTAATTTTAAATATAAATAAATATTTTATTTGTATAGATTATTAAAACAAATAAGGGAAGTAATCACTCATAAATTTACACCCCCTTCCCAGATGTGACAGGAAATATATAAATACATGTTATATACTGTACCTATGAACATTAATGGGTACGTCCCAATCCTCATAAATACATTGGACACTATTGTAAGTGGAGGTAATATGCTATCTAAGTAGTGCACCACTAGCAGTGGTTTACCTACTTCACGCTGCTGGCGAGTATTGTATTTTGTTGATGTTATAAAGATTACCATTTCATTTCCAACCTTCATTTTGGTTATTCCTCTTTCCGTAACTCTTTCTAGGTTACAACACTCTATGTATCCCGTTCTGTTTATAATCCTATCTATCTATCTATCTATCTATCTATCTAACTATCCCAGTTTGTTTATAACCTCATCTATCTATTATATACTGTACCTATGAACAATAATGGGTATGTCCCAATCCTCATAAATATGTTAGAACACTATTGTAAGTGGGGGTAATAATGCTGTTTAAGTAATCCACCACTAGCAGTGGTTTATCTACTTCACGGTGCTGGCGAGTATTGTATTTTGTTGATGTTATAAAGATTACCATTTTATTTTCAACCTCTGTTTTGTTTATTCCTCATTCAGTAACCCTTTCTAGGTTACAACAATACATATTGATAATTATTATATGGTTTGAAGATGAGGATTATAGACAAGAGTTTGGGTCAAAAAAACCACTTTATTATTTTTAAAAAGTTATTCTATTATTTACTTTCTAATATTTTTTAACTTTTTAAAAAAAATATTTATTTTTGAATTCTCTTCTTTAAATTTAAACAGAAGTTTTTTTTTTTGTTTTTTTTTTTAATTTTTAAAAAAAAAATATTTTTTGTTTATCTGAACTGCTAAGATGATCAGGATGCTGGTTTGGTAACTGCTTTTGCTTTAATATATTTGCATTGTGGTGAGAATTAAAAATACGTTTTTTTTTTTTTTTTTTTTTTTTTGTAACTCCCTCAACTTTTATCTGAAAATACCTTTGTATGAAATTCTTAAGAGATAATCTCACAAAGCTTATAGATTGTATCTGTTTAGTTGTGATTGTGTTGTAGAGTAGTTTTCACAGTGGAGGCTTGTATTTCAATAAGTCGTCCTAAATTAGGTTCGATGTACAAAATGTTAGGAACTTGAAATAAGAGTTAATGACGCAGCAAATCTAGTTGTGATGGATGATACTTCAATGTCTGACAGACTCACTTAACACCACTGAACCCAACTGGTGACCGCTACTACTTATTATGTGTGGGAGAGTCTATTAATAATAGAATAAGTACATCAGGTATAACAGATTGTCATCTACGAAATCCTACAGCTCATAATTCGACCCATCTGGTATTGTGAAATACTGAAGAAATGCTTTAGGTTAAAGACCTATTTGACCTGAGGGATTCATTGAATGAAAATGATGTTGGGATCACTACAGTCAGATGCATGTTTAGCAGCATATTTATAAACTTAATATCTAAATATTTTTTTTTTTCCCACTATTTATTGCAGGTCTAGATTATTTGGCTCATGAAGATATTCTTCCCTATTCGACAAATGAACGACATCCAATACACCATGAATTATTCAACAAATTTCTGATGCATGACCCTGGTGGTTGTAAGTATTCCTGCTTTTTAAATACAGAATTTTGGACAGTATTTGCCTTTATGTAATAGGCATTGCCTGTTGTCATATATATATATATATATTTTAATGCCAACAACATTCATATTTCTCTCACTTAAACCGTTTTTGACTCCCTTCTCTAAAACTTCTCTCTGTTAAATTTTAATCCCCCACCTTCTCTCGTCTGTTACCCCTCTCTATAGCTCTAACATTCGTCCCACACTCATACTTACACTCTCTCTAAATTCTGTTTTTTATTTCCAGAGTTGTTTTTTCTGTTTTCTTTTTGAATTTGTAGGTCTGATGAATTGGATCGTATTTATGATTCCAATGGAATAAATTATAACCATGGAATATTAGTGTTTAAGCCTTTTTATTATATCCTTACTCTGTCCTGAACATTGAGTTCTACCTGGATTCTATCCTCTTGGAATTTTTTATACAAAATATATATGTATGTGTATACATGTATGTATATATATATATATATATTTATATATATATATATATATTTATATAATATGTATATTTATATATATATATATATATATATATAGAGAGAGAGAGAGAAAAGATAGTGAAAAAAGAAAAGATAGAAAAGGAGAAAGAGAAGAGAGGAAAAGATGATATATGTATATATATATATATAGAGAGAGAGAGAGAAGGAAAAGAAAAGGAATAAATGTGTATATATATATATATATATATTGAGGGAGAGAGAAAAAAGAAAACTAATGTGTGTGTATAAATATTTAGAGAGAAAAAAGAAAGAAAGGGAATATACAGGAGAAAAAGGAATATAGGGAGAAAAAAGAAAAGGAATATATATAGAGAGAGCGAGAGAAAGAGAAAGGAAGAAATAAGAAAGAAACCAAATACGGAGAGAGAGAGAGAGAGAAAGGAAGAAATAAGAAAGAAACCAAATACGGAGAGAGAGAAAGAAATAAGAAAGAAAACAGAAAAAAGAAGGAAAACGAATAGAGAAAAAGGAAGAGGGAGAGAGAAAAAAAGAAGAGAGAGAAAGAGTATAAGAATAGAAGAAAATGATGAAAAGGAGAAATAACCACAACATTTGACACCTACACACAAAAAAAACGAGAAAAAAAATTCATCCCAACTAATGCATAAATTAATTACGTCAAACTTAGTATAAAGATAATGAAAAATAGCTGTCAATTGCTGAAACCTGACGAAAAACCCCTTTCGACTACTTTCACCCAGTTTAGCTGACAGGTCAATGCTGTTGACCAGGGTGGGGATATTACAATGCCCATGCGACTTCTTAGAGCCATGTTTGAGAGTTGAATGTAAGCTGTGGGCCAGTACAGTTGCACTTTGCAATTCACCTGGGTAAAGCAGGGTCGGCCACTTCACTGCAAATATACTACTGTTGATGCTACACCCCATACACCCTACATTACAGCTGGATGAAATCCCATGGCAATATTCTCGAGGAAATTGACATCATTATTCTTACAAATTATCTCTCCTGTGCTCAACATGATTCTGATCAAAGTTTCTCCTACCATTATGCACGGCTTTCCTACAGGAGGAATGGTTCAGAGCTAGGTCATCCCAGTCATTTTGCACGATGTTGATACACACACACACCCAAACATTTCATTAAGATCAACAGACAAGGTTCCTGTTTAATTTTTTATTTTTTTTTATTTCTAGCAATACAAACTACTAAAAAGCACAAGAATTCATAAAAAAAAATTGTTTTTAATCCATTACTAATCTCATTACTCTATCGCTTTTTCCATGTCAAATGTTCTGATGAACTCCATTCTTTACTGCTGCCAGTACACTAAAGAATATTGCTGAGTCTTCAGCTAAGAAAGTTAGTTCATTGCGTCTCTCCAGAATCTATCTTGCATATCTCTAAGTCTACCAATCGCCCATGCTTAGAATATTGCTGCCACATATAGTCTGGTGCTCCTGATATTTATTTTGAGATTCTTGAAAAAAATCTAAATAATAATTAGCAATATTATTGGTCTTGGCCAGGCATCTCAGCTTCACTTTCCCACCACTGTAAAGTTGATTCCTTGTGCCTTTTCTATAAATACTTTCATGGTAATTGTTCGGATAAGCTCTTCACTATGATACGTAGACTTTATGAATTTAAGTGCAGTACTACATTGGAAACAAGGTTTCATCAATTTACAGTTGAATTGGCTAGCTGTAAGTGTAAGTTCTATGCTAACAGTTTCTTTTCTTACACTTCTCGCTTGTGCAACTCTCTTTCAGTTCCATGCTTTCCAGCCAATTTTGATCTTTAAAAATTTAAATGCAATGTCAGTTGTTATCTACTGTCTTCCTGATTACTCTTCTATTGTTTAGGCTCCTAATAATGTTTTCTGTTTTCTAATTATTTCACACTCAGTAAAACTTTGTGTCTAAGTGGCTTTACTGCCTTGCTTGGGGTAAATTTGATAAAAAAAAAAAATATGGCTATTATTCTTACAATGGTTTTACAAGCATCACACTTTCATGTAGGTTAACTTGACACTTATTGAAATTTAGTGCCATTTTTACACATTGATCATTACTATCTGTTGAAATTTATAACATCTTTCTCTTTAAAACAGTTAATGGGTGAGCTATGGAAGAAAGGAATCTTCCAGGTTGTATTTTCCCCATTATGGGTATTATTATATCCATGATATAATAATTCCCAGACAGAGTGGATTGGCTGAAACGAAACGAAATGACAAACATGCTTTGTTCTCAGAGAGTTTTATAACACTAAGTCATACACAAAACTATAAATACATATTTGGATGTGTCCCATCAGAGAAACTCTTACACATTTATGCAGCAACAAGCAGTGTGAAAAGAAAGTCTTACTCCTAATAATTCCCAATGTAGGGTTCTTCGGTGTGTTTCTGGAGAAGCCATATTTAGGATTTCAGATTTGAGTGAGCCAGATGTATCTTCTATGTTACTAGTAAAGATATAATCAGCTCAAAATAGAAAACTGTCAGTCATGGGTTTTTTCCTGACATGACGACTGCGAGCTGGAGATATCTTCTATATCTGGTGAAGATATATTTCCAAAGGGAAACAGTGCCATGGGCTTGTAAGCTGCACCATGTGGGAGCTGGTCAGAGGAGGCAGATTTAGCCTTGGTATGGGCTAGGCAAGGGTCACATTTGTGCTAATAAAAGCAAGTATTTGGTTTGACTTCTGGAGCTGATTTCCAGAATGTCCACTTTCATCTCTATAAGAAGCAATGTCATTAAACAGCCATCTGAAAAAAAAATGCTTGGATTTAAGCTGATAGTTTAGACATTTATGAATGAGTTTAATACCATGCATGACATCCTTATGAAAGTCTTGAGTTGACAAAGCTAGTTATAAACATGACGCAAGATTTTAGCTGAATGTTTTCAGTTTGTAGCAATGTGTGACAGAACTAATTTCAACTCGATTTAAAAACCATAACCCTAACCCTTAGTTCTGAGTTGGAATTATTTTCGCACTACATAGCAACTTGTGGTGCTGAACAAACCTGCCCTTAGTGAAGCCTGTCTTATGTTCAATTTCCTTGTCTCGTACACTAAATTTGTTATGACTGTTCTCTACATCAAGGTATTTGAAGTGTTTAGTATCTATTAATTCCACCGTCTAAATTTTTTCTGTGCATACAGTCTTGAAAGGGATTAAATAAACTGGGATTTGAAGGAACATTGGGAAAGATACCTTCCAAAAGCTAAGCAAAGTATTAAGAAACATTAAGAAAAATTAGAAATAAAGAAAAGCATACTGAAATGCTATGTAATATCAGTTCTCTGATATAGCAGTAAATCCTGGACATGAAGAACAGATTTGAAGCAACAGAAATGTGGTTCTAGAGAAATGATGATGAGAATACCATGTTCCGAACAAGTGAGTAATGATGAAGTTTTAAAGGAAATGGAAACAAAAAGGTCACTTGTAATTAACATCAGGAGGACTGAGTTGAAATTTCTAGGGTACATAGTGAGGAAAGAGAGGTTGGAAAATTTGATACTCACAGGACAGATCAAATGCAAGAGGGACTGAGGAAAACAATGCATAACCTACTTGGAGAGCTTGAGTAAATGGATGGTTGAGCAGAGTTTAGGAGAGTTGGCGAAAAGATAAAATTTGAGAACTACAAAGCACATGAAATTGTGGAGAGCAATGATCACCAACATCTTGAAGGAACATGGCATATAGAAGAAGAATACACAAGAGAAATAATCCATATGAAACATAATATATTTCAAAATATGGGATGACGTCTTATAATGTGTTTAAAAGAAAACTTCAGTCAAACCATTGATGCTTTAACATTTTGTAACCTCCCCACAATGAACTTAAAGGTTTCATCTCTCGTATATCATTGAAAACCTTTCTACACGTGTCATTTGCATATGATATATGTATACTTAAATTAGAATTATTGCATTCCTAAAATGCCAGGATGAAGCTAATATAAATTGAATTAAAGCGTGTTACTAGATTGGCATCTAGGTCCCACCCATTTACTGTTGAAATTGTTAAGCGTAACCGCCACTTCTACTCCAACAGTTTCTTTCCTCACAGTTCCCGACATTGGAACTTCCTCTCTCTCTCTCTTGCTTCCCTGATAACAACAATCTTCAAAGATTTAAATGCAGCATCAATCGCCATCTTCTGTTGTATTGATCCCCCGTTCATCTTTTATCCTTTCCTCAATCTCCCCCCTCCCCATATTCAGTCTTTTTCTCTATAACGCGCCCCCCCAACTTCCTGTTTGCTAGTAGCCCTGCTGCTTTGCTTGGGGTAAAATGCTTTAAAAAAAAAATAAAAAGATTAGTTTGGCAGCAAGAATTCATTCACTGTATACATTATATGTAACCATACTTTGTTCGTAAAGTTTTGATGGGAAAGAAACTTAAATGCCAAGTCACTTGTTTTTTTATAATTCTAATTTTATTATGCTGTCAAGTTTATGATTCCATTCTATAAAGATTTGTTGTATTTTGTCAATATGAATTGTTTTCATTGCTTTAATTGCAGCACCTGCATTTATAGCTCGGGATACGCTCCGTGCTTGGCAGGAGAAGAATCATCCATGGCTACAGTTGTCTGATGTCCACAGAGAAATTACAGAGAATATTAGAGTGACTGTCATACCATTCTCTGTTTATATTCTTTTTTTCCTTTTTTCTTTTGAGTTTTTTTTTTTCTTTTTCTTTCCTTTTCTCTCTTTTCTTCCTTTTTCTCTCTCTTTTCTTCCTTTTTTCTCTCTTTTTCTCTCTTTTTCTCTCTTTTTTTCTCTCTGTTTTTTCTCTCTTTTCTTCTTTTCTCTTTTTCTTCTTTTCTCTCTTTTTTCTCTCTTTTCTTTTTCTCCTTTTTTTCTTTTTCTTTTTTTCTCTTTTTTCTCTTTTTTTTCTTTTTTTTTTTTTCTTCTTTTTTCTTTTCTTTTTTTTTTTCTCTTTTTTTTTTTTTTCTCTTTTCTCTCCTTTTCTTCTGTTTTTTTTCTTTTTTTTTCATTTCTTTCTCCTATTTTTTCTCTTTTTTTTTCTTTCTCTTTTTTTTCTCCTTTTTTTTTTCTTTTTCTTTCCACTTTCATCTCTGTTTTTCTCTCTCTCTCTTTTTATCTCTCCTTTTTTCTCTCTTTTTTTATATCCTTTTTTCTCTCTCCTTTTTCCTTTTCTCTTTTTTTTTCCTTTTTTCTCTCTCTTTTTTTCTCCTTTTTTCTCTCTTTTTTTTTCTTTGTTTTTTCTCCTTTTTTCTCTCCTTTTTCTCTCTGTTTTTCTCTCCTTTTTCTCTCTCTGTTTTTCTCTCCTTTTTCTCTCTCTGTTTTTCTCTCCTTTTTCTCTCTCTGTTTTTCTCTCCTTTTTCTATCTCTGTTTTTCTCTCCTTTTTCTCTCTCTGTTTTTCTCTCCTTTTTATGTTTTTTTTTTTCTCCTTTTTTCTATTTTTTTTCTCTTTTTCCTTTTCTCTGTTTTTCTCTCCTTTTTTTCTCTCTGTTTTTTCTCTCCTTTTTTTCTCTCTTTTTTCTCTCCTTTTCTCTCTCCTTTTTCTCTCTGTTTTCTTTTTTCTCTCTCTGTTTTTCTCTCTCTGTTTTTCTCTCCTTTTTCTCTCTCTGTTTTTTTCTCTCTTTTTTTTCTCCTTTCTCTCTTGTTTTCTCTCCTTTTCTCTCTCTGTTTTTTCTCTCCTTTTCTCTCTCTGTTTTTTCTCTCCTTTTTTTCTTTTTTTTTCTCTCCTTTTTCTCTCTCTTTTCTCTGTTTTTTCTCTCTTTTTTTCTCTCCTTTTCTCTCTGTTTTTCTCTCCTTTTTCTCTCTCTGTTTTTCTCTCCTTTTTCTCTCTCTGTTTTTCTCTCCTTTTTCTATATCTGTTTTTCTCTTTCCTTTTTTTTCTGTTTTCTCTCCTTTTTTCTCTCTGTTTTTTTCTCCTTTTTTTCTGTTTTTCTCTCCTTTTTTCTCTGTTTTTCTCCTTTTCCTTTCTCTTTCTCTCTCTGTTTTTCTCTCCTTTTTCTCTCTCTGTTTTTCTCTCCTTTTTCTATTTCTGTTTTTCTCTCCTTTTTCTATTTCTGTTTTTCTCTCTTTTTCTCTCTGTTTTTCTCTCCTTTTTTCTATTTTTTTCTCTCCTTTTTCTCTCTGTTTTTTCTCTCTCCTTTTTCTCTGTTTTTTTCTGTTTTCTGTTTTTCTCCTTTTTCTATTTCTTTTTTTTCTCCTTTTTCTATCTCTTTTTCTCTTTTTCTTTTGTTTTTCTCTCTCAGTTTTCTGTTTTCTCTCCTTTTTTTTCTCTCTGTTTTTTCTCTTTTTTTTTCTTTATTTCTGTTTTTCTCTCTTTTTTTCTATCTTTTTCTCCTTTTTCTCTCTCTGTTTTTCTCTCTTTTTCTCTTTTTTTCTCTTTTTCTCTTTTTCTCTCCTTTTTTTCTCTGTTTTCTCTCCTTTTTTCTTCTGTTTTCTCTCCTTTTTTCTCTTTCTGTTTTCTCTCCTTTTCTTCTCTCTTTTTCTCTCTCTGTTTTTTCTCCTCTCTCTGTTTTTTCTCTCCTTTTTTCTCTCTCTGTTTTTCTCTCCTCCTTTTTTTCTCTCTCTCCTTTTTTTTCTCTTTTTTTTCCTTTTCTCTGTTTTCTCTCCTTTTTTCTCTCCTTTTTCTATTTCTGTTTTTCTCTCCTTTTTCTATTTCTGTTTTTCTCTCCTTTTTTCTCTCTCAGTTTTTCTCTCCTTTTTCTATTTCTGTTTTTCTCTCCTTTTTTCTCTCTCTGTTTTTCTCTCTCTGTTTTTCTCTCCTTTTTCTCTCCTTTTTCTCTCCTTTTTTTTTCTCTCCTTTTTCTCTCTCAGTTTTTTTCTCTCTTTTATCTCTCTCTGTTTTTTTTTTCTCTCAGTTTTTCTCTCCTTTTCTCTTCTCAGTTTTTCTCTCCTTTTTTCTCTCCTTTTTCTCTTTTTATCTCTGTTTTTTTCTCTCCTCTTTTTTCTCTCTTTTTTTTCTGTTTTTTCCTCTCTGTTTTCTCTCTCTTTTTCTCTCTCTTTTTTCTCTCCTTTTTCTTTTTCTATCTCTCTTTTTTTCTCCTTTTTTTCTTTTTCTCTTTTTCTTTCTTTTTTTTCTCCTTTTTTTTCTCTGTTTTTCTCTCCTTTTTTCTCTCTCCTTTTCTCTCTCTCTCTTTTTCTCCTTTTTTCCTTTTTCTGTTTTCTCTCCTTTTTTTCTGTTTTCTCTCCTTTTTTCTCTCTGTTTTTTCTCTCCTTTTCTCTCCTGTTTTTTCTCTCTCTTTTTTTCTGTTCTCCTTTTTTCTCTCTCTGTTTTTTTCTTTTTTTCCTTTTTTTTCTCTCCTTTTTCTGTTTTTTCTCCTTTTCTGTTTTCTCTTTTTTCTGTTTTTTTTGTTTTTTCTCTCTTTTTTCTCTCTGTTTTTTCTCTCCTTTTCTCTCCTTTTTCTCTCTTTTTTTCTCTCTGTTTTTCTCCTTTTCTCTCTCTCTGTTTTCTCTCCTTTTTCTCTGTTTTTTTCTCCTTTCTCTGTTGTTTTTTTTTTTTCTATCTCTTTTTTCTCCTTTTTTCTCTCTTTTTTTCTCTCTCTTTTTTTTTCTTTTTTTCTCTCTTTTTTCTCTTTTCTATTTCTGTTTTTCTTTTTTATTTCTTTTTCTCTCCTTTTTTCTCTATTTTTTTTTTTTTCTCTCTGTTTTTTTTCCTTTTTTTCTCTGTTTTTCTCTCTCTCTCCTTTTTTTTTCTCCTTTTTCTTTTTTTTCTCCTTTTTTCTCTCCTTTTCTCTGTTTTTCTCTCCTTTTTCTTTTTTCTGTTTTTTTTCTCTGTTTTTTTCTCAGTTTTTCTCTCTTTTTCAATCTCTGTTTTTCTCTCCTTTTTCTATCTCTTTTTTCTCTTTTTTCTCTGTTTTCTCTGTTTTTCTCTCTGTTTTTTCTCTCTTTTTTTCTCTCTCAGTTTTCTCTCCTTTTCTCTCTCTGTTTTTCTCCTTTTCTATCTCTGTTTTTCTCTCTTTTTTGTTTTTCTTTTTCTCTCCTTTTTCTCTCTGTTTTTCTCTTTTTTCTCTTTTTTATCTCTTTTTTCTCTCTGTTTTCTCTCTCTGTTTTTTCTCTATTTTTTCTCTCTTTTTTTTTTTCTCTTTTTTTTATCTCTGTTTTTCTCTCCTTTTTTTTGCTTTTTTTCTCCTTTTCTCTCCTTTTTTTTTCTCTCTGTTTTCTCTCCTTTTCCTCTGTTTTTTTCTTTTCTCTCTCTGTTTTCTCTCCTTTTCTATCTCTGTTTTTCTCTCCTTTTTCTGTCTTTCTCTCCTTTTTCTCTCTCTTTTTTCTCCTTTTCTCCTGTTTTTTCTCCTTTTTCTGTTTTTTTCTCCTTTTTATCTCTCTCAGTTTTTCTCTCCTTTTTTTTTCTTTTTTATTTTTTTTTTCTCTTTTTTCTCTCCTGTTTTCTCTCCTTTTCTATCTCTGTTTTTTTCTCTCTCTGTTTTTTCTCTGTTTTTTTCCTTTTCTCTCTCTGTTTTTTCTCTCTCTATTTTTTTTTTCTTTTTTTTCTTTTTCTCTCTCTGTTTTTCTCTCCTTTTTCTCTCTGTTTTTCTCTCCTTTTTCTATTTCTGTTTTTCTCTCCTTTTTCTATCTCTGTTTTTCTCTCTCTGTTTTTCTCTCCTTTTTCTCTCTCTGTTTTTCTCTCCTTTTTCTCTCTCTGTTTTTCTCTCCTTTTTCTCTCTCTGTTTTTCTCTCCTTTTTCTCTCTCTGTTTTTCTCTCCTTTTTCTCTCTCTGTTTTTCTCTCCTTTTTCTCTCTCTGTTTTTCTCTCCTTTTTCTCTCTCTGTTTTTCTCTCCTTTTTCTCTCTCTGTTTTTCTCTTCTTTTTTTCTCCTTTTTTTTGTTTTTTCTCCTTTTCTCTCTGTTTTTTCTCCTTTTTTGTTTCTGTTTTCTCTCCTTTTTCTCTCTCTGTTTTTCTCTCCTTTTTCTCTCTCTGTTTTTCTCTCTCAGTTTTTCTCTCCTTTTTCTATCTCTGTTTTTCTCTCCTTTTTCTATCTCTGTTTTTCTCCTTTTTTCTCTTTTCTTTTTCTCCTTTTTCTCTCTCTGTTTTTTTTCTCTCCTTTTTCTATCTCTGTTTTTCTCTCTCTGTTTTTCTCTCCTTTTTCTCTCTCTGTTTTTCTCTCCTTTTTTTTTTCTCTCTTTTCTCTCTCTTTTTCTCTCCTTTTTCTCTCTGTTTTCTCTCTTTTTTTCTCTAGTTTTTCTAGTTTTTTTTTCTCTCCTTTTTCTCTCTGTTTTTCTCTCCTTTTTTTCTGTTTTTTTCTGTTTTTTCTCTCCTTTTCTCTCTCTTTTTTTCTCCTTTTTTCTCTCCTTTTCTCTCCTTTTCTCTCCTCTGTTTTTCTCCTTTTCCTATCTGTTTTTTCTCCTTTTTTCTCTCTGTTTTTTCTCCTTTTTTCTCTCTCTTTTTTTCTCCTTTTTTCTCTCTGTTTTTTTCTTTTTTTTTCTTTTTTTTCTCTTTTTTTTTTTCTCTTTTTTCTCTTCCTTTTTTTTTTTTTCTCTGTTTTTCTCTTCCTGTTTTTCTTCATTTTTTTAATTTCTTTTATTCTCTCCTTTTTTCCCTCACTTCTCCCACTTTTTCTTTTTCTCTCTAGTTTTCATTCCCCTTTTCTCTATTATTATCTCCTGGTATATAATATATACCAAAACTAGATTCACCTATCGTCCTGTTCATACTCCTCCTTGGTCTTTTAAACAGGAGTACAAGTTTATCCTTTGTTTCCTATTTAGAATTGGGTTTCTGGTTCCACCTAAAGTCTTCTCATTCTCTTTCACTTTCAGCAGTCCCTTGCATCTTAGTGGTATTATCACCTTGCTTGGTGTGAATTGATTTGAAAAAAAAATATTTAACTATTCACTTTGTGAAATCACTTTTTTGATTTTTTTTTTTTTTTTTTTTTTAAATCATTTTTCTTTGTGCCAGTTCCTTTAACCTTCAGTTTCACTGGGCGCTTCTTACTTATGGCCTTATGCCAGACTGATTTGAGTAAACAGCTAATTGAATAGAAGAATTGTTGATTGAAGTAACAACCTTTTCAGACTGATTGATTTTTATTTTTATATTTTTACAGGAATCCCAACAAACCCATGTTTTCTGGGTAAGTATAAAAATGTTTGTTTTGACATACCATTTTATTGCACACAAAGAAATGGGCTGAGTATTTCAGCCTTGTGCCAGATTGCTTGTTCACTGTGTCTTTTTTTGCATAGGGTAATGGTTAAGGCAAGAGAAATAGAGAGAAGTCAGTAGGTCGCCTACCTGATGAGCTTGTCTTAATGGATCATTGAAAAGATGCATGGCTTGACAAAGGAAGAAACATTGCTGGGGGCCTCTGCAAAGAATAGGAAGCTGTGGAGAGCCATGATCGCCCATGTTCTGAAGAGACATGGCACATACAAGTTAACTATTACTGCTGTTATTGTAAGTTAATTTCTCGCTGGGTGCCCTATACTTCAGGCTTTGTACCAAACTGAGTTAACTTTAGCGGAAAAAATACTGCTATGAATTTTCAGTCTCTCAGCTAAATTTGTTGTCTACGTTGTTAAGAGGATAAAAAGAATGAAAACCTTTAAATTATGTGGTGATATTCAAGTTCTCAAATGAGCAATCATGGCTCTCCACAACTGTCTTTTGTAGCTCTTATATAGGGCTTGATATGCTGCCAAACAAAAACAACTCTTATGTGGCCATTTTTTTTTTATCAACCTTTATCAAATAGTTTCGATAATTTTAATACCGATGATAAAATTGTTATGTAAATGAATATTATTCTTTTGTTACTTGCATTATTTACATTATTCAGACTGTTATCCTCATCTTCATTGCCATATTCACAATGTTTCGGCCATTGCACGCTCCAGCCTTCTTCAGGAGATTGGAATTTCGAACCAAACACTTTATGTCATCCACTGGGGTAGATTGTTTTAGTTCACCTGAAGAAGGCTGAATTGTACAATGGTCAAAACATTTTGAATATGGCAATGAAGATGAGGATAACAGTCCGAATAATATAAATAATGCAAGCAATTCATATTACCTCATCTCAGAGATCCAATCACCTGAAGAAGGCGGGGGTGTACAATGGCCGAAATGTTTTGAATATGGCAATGAAGATGAGGATCACAGTCTGAATAATGTAAATAATTGCAATACTTCATCTCAGAGATCCAATCATCTGAAGAAGGCTGGATTGTACAACAGAAAAAAATTTGTGAATATGGCAATGAAGATGAGGATAACAGTCCGAATAATGTAAATAATGCAAGTAATTCATATTACCTCATCTCAGAGATATAGACAGATATTATTCTTTTGTTTTATGCAAATTCTTCGTTATGTAAACTAATGTTTTGTATGTAAATTTCTTGTGTGTAAATGAACACATGTTTTTTCTTTATAAATTGTGCTGTATTCTGGGGAGAGTGAAATTATGTGGAGAGACAGCGATAACAGTATTCTGCTCTGTTTTTTTATTGAATAAAGCCTTTCTTAAGGTTATTGCCGTCTCGCCTTGCATTCAAAATTCATAAGAACAACAGTGTATGTATATATTTATACTACAAGGAAAACCGACATGAGAAAACTATTTTAAAAATACTTAAACAATCATCATAATGTCCTACCTTAAAGAAATAGGTTTATACCACAACACATAACACCTACAATAGATCATCTACAAACTATATATCTATAAAACATGTTTACCCTGAAAGTAAAACATTATGTACAAAATACCTGTAGTTGAAGCCATAAAATTGCAATCGGAATATTTAGATTTAGGCATTAAATAACCCATAGAGGTATTGATATGCTGCTAAACAAAAACAAACAACCAACTATAGTGTGGCCAGTTTTTTTTTGATCAACATTTTTCAAAGAGGTTCGATAAGTTTTAAGTTTTAAATGTTAAGAAATACAGCAAATAAAAAAAAATGCAGTAAGGCAGTTTAAAAACAAATTTTATGATAGAAATAAAAAAAAAAACACAAGAGACACATAGTCAGCCAACTTGGGTTAAACCAGTTAACTTAAGCGGGTAAAGTAAGCCGTACTTGCAAAGAAACTGTTGATATCTCAAAATAGATTGCAAAATCGCTATGTGAAAAGAGAAAGATGCCTCACCAAGGATATTGGATCTGTTGTCTAAAAAGCTGGGAACAGTAACTACACTCTGATCATTTGTGAATATCTATGCTGATGATACAATGGTGTATGTATTTATACTACAAGGAAACAAACATAAAAAACTATTTGAAAATACTAAAACCATCAACATAATCTTCAACATTAACATTTCACACTCTACATTATCTTTAAATAAATCTTCCCCTTTTACTGTATATGAAATCCCCTCAAAATATAGCATTTTATATATTTGAAATTGCAGTAGCCTGGCTCTCAATTTCAGTCAAGATTGTTTTAGGTGTTGCCTTAGAAGGATATGACTACACAACCAAGAAATTCAACAATTTGCATTAGCAGGACTATCATTTTGCTTAGTGAAAATAGTCTCCTACTGAGTGCTTAAGCTTAAAGAAATAGGTTTCTACCAAAACACCTACAATAGATCATCTACAAACTATATATCTATAAAACATACATTATCTTGAAAGTATAAAATTATGTACAAAATATTTATAGTTGAAGCTATAAAATTGTGTATAAAATATTTAGATTTCAGCATTAAATGACCCATAGAGGTGTTGAGATGCCACTAAACAAAAACAACTAACCAGCTCTAATGTGACCAGTTTTTTTTTTTGAACCTCTTCAAAAATAAGTTCATCAAGTTTAAAATGTTAAAAAATAAACCAAATACCCCCCCCCCAAAAAAAAAAAAATTGGAGTAAAATAGTTTAAAAACCAACTTTATGACAGAAAGAAAAAACATGATTTTAGTTTATTTAATTGAAGTATAAAATTTATTTATTTTACTTCCTTCAGATTTGTCTATATTTATTTTTATTGCAAAAATAAATATTATGTGAAATTTGCTAAAAAATTGTAATCTTGGTCTTGGAAGTTTATTTAATATTTTCCATTTAAAGTTAGTTTAATATTTTTCTCTGAAGTTTATATTCATAAAAGCAGATTCACTAATGATAAAATTTGAATATTTTTGCTTAATCAGTATTTCTGTTTTTAACGGGTAAAAAATTTATGTTGAATTTTTATATGACAGCTCTTATACTGTAATGCAGAACTTTTACACTACAAAATTCAGTGAAAAAAAATTGGAAAAACTAAACCATGCAGCATGCTCAAACAAAAAATGCATAATTTTACTTAAAGAAATAATTTATTAATTGAATTTTTTTCTAGTCTTTCTTCTTACAAATGTTAGAAAGTCTTTCTTAAGAAATTTAATTGTAAGGTTTAATTATTTTTTTTAATCATTTCACCCTATGCAAGGCAATAAAGTCACTAAGATGCAAGAGGGTTACTGAGTGCAAGAGAATATGAGAAATAAAGAGTATTAAGGAGAGAGAACAATAAAAGTCCAGGAATTAAAACTACAGAAGATAATTGATATTGCATTTAAATATTTGAAGATTAATACTGATAGGAAAGCAAGAAGCCAGAAGATTTTCATAAGCGAGAAGTGCGAGAGAAGAAACTGTTAGCATAGAACTTACGGTTGCATCTATTTCAACTGTTAATTAATGAAACACTGTTGCCAATCTTTTTATTACTAGACTTTAAAATCCATGAAGTTTAGGTACCATAGAGGAAAGTTTATCAGAACAATTACCATGAAAGTATTTATAGAAAAGACACAGGGAAGCTATTTTACAGCTGTAGGAAAGTGCCTGAAGTCGAGATGCCAGATGAGTTTTTAACGACTACTTCTAAAGACTTTTTTTTTTCATTTATTTTGTTTTACACTATGAAATTTATTTACAGATGCCATTATTTGACACATGGTTAATTTAATATTTTTCTCTATTATATTTTTATTCGTAATAATATATTGATGATAGAATTTAATTTTTTAGGAGTAATTTTTTTTTTTTTGGCCTAAAATGTATTAAGAAAATACTGCATTTTAGTTTAGTTTGCCATTGAAAAGCATAAAATAGAAGTAATGTTTAACCCCAAATTTCTGAAATCCCACCATTTTGAAATAGGCTTCCACTTCTGGCCCTTAGTTAAACCATGAGTTGAGCTGTAGTATAGAATGCAATGTGTTACATACATATGCCGTCAATAATAAAACTATATTATTAATTTTTTTTATGCTAATGTTCTCCTAATACAAGGCCCAAGAGTCACTGAAGGTAGAGGATTACTGTCTGGTGTTGTACAAGTACGAGAAGTTAAGTTCCTGAAGCAAGGACGATAATGGTTAATTAAAGAAGTCAAGATTGTAGCAATTGGGGAAACATCCTGCCGAGAGTCTTTTCCACAAAACAGCAGTTCTTGGGAAAGCTTGTCCGAGTGGAACTTACTCCTTACTAATAAAATACAAAGGGAATGGGGAGGATTGATGAAGTATTGCATAATACCACTTTTATGTTTATTGCTTTCATAATGTTTTAATTTTGGTCAGTTTATGCTTGTCTGTAACTTTGTTTTTGGCTGTCCCTTGTATATGTATTTAAATTTCTTACATGATTGGCATAAGCTTTATCTTCTGGTTTATTTGAAATAGTGGCGCTATTGTGTTCGACTGGAGAATTTAGGTGAAGATACGGTGCAGCTTCGAGAACGTCACTGGCGAATATTCAGTTTGTCTGGGACTTTGGAAACAGTACGCGGACGTGGTGTGGTTGGTCAGGTCAGTACAAAATAAACATTTGACTTTGCTAATCAACATTTCTTTTTCCTTCCTATTTCTCTTCATATACTGTATTGTCTTTTGTTTACAGATACCTTTCCTAAACCCTATCCCAGTGATTCTTGAAGGCAAACTGCCATATCATATTGAATCATTGATTCTCATAAGATCACTGAAGTTAAGCAATATTGAGCCTGGTTAGTACCTTGATGGGTAACCGCTTGGGAATACCATGTGCTGTAAGCTTAGATGTGTGAGTACTGTAATGAATAACACCTCATAATAAAATTACTAATAAAAAAAAAAAATCATGTTTTATTTTTTTTTTAACCATGTATAATAATTTTCTTTTCTTTAAATTATAAAACAACTACGTTGGAGTTTCCTCAAACTTTTGAATTGTAGTGTATGTATAAACTGTGTTATGAAATGTAATATGTTTATGCTTAGGTTCTATTCCCAAGATGCTCGATTTTATAGCTGCTATATACAAATTAAATAGCCTGTATTCCAAAATAAAAAATAAATCAGAAAACTGAATCACTTTTAGTCCCAAGGATTTTTAAGATAAAGTATTCTCAACCTGTATAGCTCTAAAATTCATAAAGTCTACGTACCATAGAGAAAAGTTCATCAGAACAATTACTGTGAAAGTATTTATAGAAAAGGCACAGGGCAGCTATGTTATGGTGGTAAGAAAATGATTGAAATCAAGATGGTAGCCAGAACATTAGCCTGAAAACTGAAATCATGTTCTTAAATAGCATCGTCACATCAAGACTTTCATAAGGTTATCATGCATGGCACCAAACCTGGTCAGAAATATCTAGACTGTCAGCTATATACAATACTTCCTTGTCCTGGGTAAGACAATAAACTACATCCACATCTTGTTTAAGATGATAAACTACATTCAACAGCAAGGCCTCTGATCAGGAGGTTTTGATCAATCTCTTAATTGTTGGTGTTCCCAGGTCCAACTTGACCTGGGGTTGTAGTACCTGTTAGGGCCCCAGCTATGGAAAAATAGTTAACTCCCAAACTGGAGTCAAAACACTATGAAAGTGTAATAATAGGTTTTAAGAGTTGCCAGCAATGAATTTTTGAAGAAAAAATTATTACCAGCAATACATTTTTGAAGGAAAAAAAATATTACCAGCAATACATTTTTGAAGGAAAAAAAATATTACCAGCAATACATTTTTAAAGGAAAAATTATTACCAGCAATACATTTTTAAAGGAAAAATTATTACCAGCAATACATTTTGGAAGGAAAAAAAATATTTTAGGAAAAAATTACATTTTTTAAAAAAAAAATATTACCAGCAATACATTTTTGAAGAAAAAAAATATTGCCAGCAATACATTTTTAAAGAAAAAAATATTACTAGCAATACATTTTCAAAGGAAAAAATATTACCAGCAACCAACAATACATTTTTGAAGAAAAAAATATTACTAGCAATACATTTTGGAAGGAAATATTACCAGAAATGTGTTTTTCAAGAAAATAAATATTATTGCAATCCATTTTGGAAGGAAAAAAATATTACCATCAATAAATTTTTGAAGGAAAAAATATTACCAGCAATACAGTTTTTGAAAAAATATTACTAGTAATAAAAAATCTTGTCAGCATTAAAATAGTCCATTGAGATTGATATTGATAAACACACCAAACCAAACCAAACCAAACCAAACTAAACAACTACTTCCTAATATCATTGGGTAAAAGGATCTTTGAGTGATTGAAGCCCGTGAGTCTTGGAGAAAGATCAGACTTTTTTTTTAACCTTGTAGAATATCACTACTGAATCACAAAGATAGAAAATAAGACAAACAACAGCTAAAATGGATATCACATGTAACTTGAAGAGAAAATAATGCCATCAAGATGTTGACATTCCACGCTACTCAAACAAAAGGTTAGGAAGGAAACCCTCATTTAAACTTTAAAAGCGATAACATCTACTGGACTTGAGAAACCTTTTTTTCCTGAAAAATTGTTTTAAGAAAAAGGTTTTATGAATTTCACTTTTATAACCTGTTTGGTCGATGAATGCCAAATGTTTCCTTATAGGGAGACAACAAATATTACCAACCATTATGATGGAATTTCAGAATTTCAATAGGAGAGATTTTAAAAAGATCTTTGGCCATTGAGGCATTAAAAAATTCTACAAATTCATTTTGTAAATTGTCTGGAGAAGATCTAGAATTAATTTGAAAGGGGATTCCTAATATGTTAAGAATTGCGGACAGATGTTTTGCAAACTTCAAATCATAAAAAGAGGCAGTGTTGAGAGCATAAGTGACATGATTGTGTAGCCACAAATTTTGTTTTGCATACCTGGTTTGGGTAGCCTTGCCTATCATGATGATTTGCCTTGCAGCATATCAAGTACAATGGGTTATTTAATGCTGACAAGATTTTTATTGCTGATAATATTTTTTTTTCCAAAAATGTATTGCTGGTAATATTTTTTCCCAAAATGTCTTGCTAGTATTAAAACCTATTTTTATACTTTCATAGTGTTTTGACCTCTTTTGGGGGGTTAACTGTTTGTCCATGGCTGGGACCCTGACAGGTGCTACCACCCCAGGTCAGGGTGGACCTGATAACACCAGCGATTAAGAGGTGGTTCCATGCTCCTCAAAACCTCCGGATTAAAGGCCTTTCTGTCAGATGTAGTTTACTGTCTTAAGCAGGATGCTATCATGATGTAAATCCTGTTTGTAAATCTGGTCCAGTTATTCTGATGTGGGGAGGGGGTTGTTGTTAAAATGTAATGTGTTCAAACCCTAGGGGGCTCTCTCACCAGGAAATACCTCTCCCTCAAAATTAGTCTAGGCTTATTACCTGTTGCTTACAGCATCCCCAGAAGTGGAATTACCCAGGGGACTTTAGTAATTTTTATCCCTAGTTCATGTACTTTTCCAGTCAAGTATTACATACATGCAAATACCCTTGAGAAATGCATGAATCCATCTGTTCTCCCCCAGATATGGGTTAATTAGTTGGACTTCTATCTGAAAAAAATGATTGTTATCTCCAAAAGAAAAATTGTTAAAACAATATTCATATGTGAAAAAAAAATTATTCTTACAATCCAAAATATTTCCGGTTTAAATAACCCATAAAAGGTTGATAAACTGTAAAAAACAGTTTGTTAGTCTATAGTATTTTCAGCACTCTGTAAATATTGTAGCATGACTTTTATAATTTGGAGAAATTCTATCAGCAAGCACTGAGCTCCATTTTCTTTTGTGTCTCTCGGCAGGAACCCCTTCTTTCAAAGGAGCAGCCAGCTTTCCAGTATAGCAGCCATGTTTCTCTGCAGGCACCAAGTGGACATATGTGGTAAGTGGATCCAACAAGTTACTCCCCGCCTCTCATCTGCGCATAAAAGATTGACGGGTGAAGAGGTCACTAAGCCCTGTTTGGGGCTGATAAATACCAGTTTTCTTCTTTTATGTACCATGTCCCCCCAGGATTTGGGCAGTCATGACTCTCCACAACTTCCATCCCTCATATCTCTGATTCTTTACCATCTCTCTCTGTCCCCATTCTGCCATCCATTCGTACAAAATTCTTAGATATGTTACTTGCTGTTTCCTTTCACCCTTCAATTTTCTGTGAGTGTCAGATTCTCCAAGCCTTCTTTCCTCATTATGTTTCCCAGAAATTTCAACTCTCTTTCTGATTTCAAATATAGGTGTCCTTTTAGTTCCCATTTTTCTTTAAAACTTCCTTGTTGTTCACATGTTCAGCCCTTGGTATTCTTCAGCATCCTTCTATAGAAGCATATCTCTTTTTTTTTTCTTTTCTTTTTTTATAAGCATTTCACCCCAATCAAGGTAGGGAGCCACTAGCATGCAAGGGGTTACAGAGAGTTGGGGCAAGGGCAAAGAGGAGTGATACAGGAAAGGATGAAGAGAAGGCATCTGGAGACGTCGATTGACATTACATTTGAATAGTTGGAGATTGTAGCTATCTGGGAAACAAGAAATGGGGAGGGCGTTCAACAGGCGAGAAGTGCGAGCCATGAAGCTATTGGAGTAGAAGAGAGGGCTACATTTAACAGTTTTGAAAGTGAAAGTGTGAGAGCATGAAATATAGACAGATACTGAAAGGCCGAAACGTTGTAATAAATATGGCGACAAAGATGAGGACATTAGTCCGAATAATGTAAATAGTGTACATAATACCTCATCTCAGAAATATAGACAGATACTGAAAGGCCGAAACGTTGTAATAAATATGGCGACAAAGATGAGGACAATAGTCTGAATAATGTAAATAGTGTACATAATACCTCATCTCAGAAATATAGACAGTAATTTCCATTAGTTATTAACGCCTGTGGCATTGTAGTACTGTTCGACTAATCCAGTTACATAATAATGATTAAGTCCAATGTTTCTTGAATTTTTTAACCTTTTTTTGAAAGTAACTGTTGTAGCATACCTATGGACAATATTGGGTATGCCTCCATTCCCATAAATACAGTAATGAATACTGTATGTTGGTTTGCAGTTGGAGATTCCTTGTGGAATACACATGACTCACTTCTAGTAGTTGACTACTATTATGCGCCGCTGGTGAATCTTATATGTATTGTTCGTGTCCTAAGTATTATTGTGCTTTACCACCCTTCGTTTGATTATTCTATTCAGTAACCTTCCCTAGGTTACAACAGTAATGTTTTTAGCATTTTAAATCATTGGCGATTTTTATTAAGAACAATCATATAAGAAAATATTTTGTTTTAGAAACAAGAAACAGTCAAATTAATTTTTTTCTCTGGAGGATAAATATATTCTTTATTTTAAAAAGATATTTTCTGTATTTTCAAAGCTCCGGGTAAATAATATTGCTGATTCTTCTTTTAGATTTTATCAAGGATCTTTATATATATATATATATATATATATATATATATATATTGCAGAAGCTCCAGACCATATGTGGCAGCAATATTGTAGGCATAGACGAATGGTAGATATGTAAGATAGATTCAAGAGAGAAAAATTTTCTAGCATGACTCAAGGAACCAACTTTCTTAGGAACTGACCTTGCAATGGATTCAATATAGTCTTTCCACTTCATGTCAGCTGAGACTGTTAGCCTGAGGAGGCACAACGAGTCACTCTCCTGGAGATTAGTATCATCTGTGCTGATGGAAGGCAGAAATGGGTCTCTCAGATGATTAATAGAGAGCAGTTTAGTTTTGGTGGTGTTAATATTAAGAAGTCATGCTTTTCCCTAGTTAACAAGGGACTGAATTTCTTTTTAGTGTAAATATGTGGCCTTTGGCATGATGCATAATTAATTTCCATTGTACAAGATTTTTTTTTCTAGAGTAGCACACATAATTTAATGGAAACCAATGCACATCCTATCCCCAAACGTTTTGTGAATTCACAGATAATATAGTGAAGTGGTATGCCTATCTAATGAAGAAGATAGGGCAATTTGCAGTTTGCGGCCCACAGCTTCGATTTTTGAATGGAACACCTAATTTTATGAGGAAAATAACATTTATAAAGATTTTGTGTTTTTGCTTCATTCTCACTTGTTTACTCCTAATCTCTCTCATGAGAGAAGATGGTTTCAAAGGGAAATAACTAAAAAATGCTTGAGTAATCTCCCTTAGTTATTAATGTCTTGTCTTTGGTTCGGTTGTTTTTGTTTAGCAGTACAGTGTAACCTGGATATAAGAGACCCGGATATAAGAGAAATTTTCTCTGGTCCCAAATTAGAGCCTGTGTTAATGTATATAAAATAGACCAAACCCGGATATAAGAGAAACCCGGATATAAGAGACTTCGTCTCCGGTCCCGACAACTCTCTAATATCCGGGTTACACTGTATATCAACATCTATGGGTTATTTAATGCTGAAAAATCTAAATATTTTGTACTCAATTTTTATTTTATTTTATTGTTTATAATAATGTTTTAGTGATACAAGTCTTACTAATTAACCCATAGCTGGGGGATAAGAGATTAATATATTTCCCAAAATGTTTTGCATAAGTGAATATAACGAATACAACTGAATTGTAACTTGACTCTCCAGTTAACAATTTTGAACCATTATCCATTACACTGGTTTCCCAAGTGGTCACCCATTTAGGTACTGACCATACTCAACATTGCTTAACTTCAGTGATCGTATGGGAACTGGTGTTTCAATATGATGTGACCGTAAGCAATTTGTGTTTGGGTTACAGTTCGAGTGAAACACATGATTAAGTACAATCTTCTTAAATTTTGTAATCTTTTATTGAAGTTAACATACTCAGTAGTTTATACCTTTGGCCATTTTTCATTATGGAAGATCATACATGCAAAAATATTTTGCTTTAGAAACGAAAAATGTTTATATTATTTCTTTTCTCTGGAGAAAAAAAATATGTTCTTTTTTTTTATAAAAAGATATGTTGTTTTTGTATTTTCAAATGAATAAATTAGAAACAAAATACAAGCAGCAACATCATTGGTTAATCATAATGTCATCGGGGATAATATACAAAATCTTGCATTTTTAAATTGTAGAAAAAAAATCTTTTCTCCAAATAAAAAAACATCAACATTTCCTCATTTCTAAGGAAGATACTTACACGTATGATCTTCTGTAAGGAAAATGGCCACTTTAGTTTCAAAGAAAAATAACTTTGAATTTGTTTTATTAGTATGACCTGCCTTATGGTGAGCCATATTTCATGTGGCCTTCTGATCAAAAAAAAGGTTGCTTATGCCTCAAAGCTCTCAAATGATGTGCATGAATAAAATAAGTTTGTCGGACTAAATATCTGAAGGTCAAGTCTGTAGTTGGTTTTAATTTAAAAAATATAAATTCATTAAATATATGCTTTTTATTTATTTTATTTTATTTTTCTGAGAGGGCGAAGTATCACCAAAAACTATTATCAGTGGCCTCTCAGAATTGAATATTTATTTATTTTAGAGAATATTGAAAAGAAAAAAAATCTGTGGAGATTATGAAATCTGGCATAGCTGATCATGTTTAGACAATAATATGTAGTTGCCAACATAAGCATATTAATACGTATTAATATGCTTATGTATTAATACCATGTGAGAGTTTTCATGAAGAATAAAAACAAGGACAGTTCAGGTATTTTTAACCATTGTGACCGCCAAAAAAATAAAACTGAAACAAAATGGTGTCGAAAGGATGACTTTTTTCTTGACACCACTATTATTTTAACTACCTTCTCTCCTTGGCAATGTTCATTGTTTTGAAAAGCAATGATTAGAAGTTTTAATAAAACCTAAACATATGAAAATGAATTAAATGCTATTTATTTATTAGATTATTTAGTGAAATGGTTGGCAAATCATCGGCTAATCACCAATTGATTCAAACACTATAAAATGGTAAATAACAAGGATTTTCTTATAATTGTTTTCATATTTCTTTATAAATTGTAAATGATAAGTATTGCATTTCATTAGTTTTAATACAATTATATTTGATTTAGAATATTGTTAAATATAAAATTATTCTTGTAAATAAACAATCTGATAAATAATGTTTAATATTTTTGTTGTAAATTGAATACAGTGCAAAACTAGCAATAACTGAAGAGTACTAAAAATAAGGACAATACGAGATATCCATTGATATGGGCAGTGGAACAAGAACAGTCTTTAAATAAATGGTTTAGTTTAGAATTTTCTGTTGGTTACCCAGACTGATGAAATCTGGAGAGCATAATGGCTAAAATGTAATAAAAACAACAAAGCTGTGGACAATATTCCATTTGTAAATAGTGCAAATAATGATAGCTCTTTATCCCAGAATGTCAGTCATGTTTGCCTTGAGGCCTTTTGATCACTGATTTTTTTTTTTTTTTTTCCTTTCTTTTAGGGGAACTTACAAAATGGAGCGCCGTGATGGGACGTCATTTGAATGCCGGATTCCTCCTTTTTCCTTAGAGAGCAAATCAGATGATGCCAACAACCCTCACGGTCTTCTAGGCAGTTGACTCCACCCTTTGCACTAGCTTCTGGGTGGGGAGCCTCCTTCTCATGGACAACCAGGGGATTCTCCTGTTTTTCTTTACCAATTTAGGTCAATTTAATAAAATTATAATTTCATCGTGATTTTTCTTTATCTTTTCTTGCACAAGTAGATGGATTCACCTCTCGAGAACAACAGATAAGGGTTGCTTGCAGTATCCTTGAAAGGGGAAGTACCTGGAGGGTGGGGTCACTGCAGTAATTTTTATCCCTATTTCATGTACGTTTGGGCACCCGTTTTAAACTCAACCTTGTGTCATATTCCCTGCGGATGAATATTCTTCTGTGTGCCGTGTCCTTTCAGGACGTGAGTGACCATGCCTCTCCACAACTTCCTATCCTTTGTAGCTCTTAGTAAATTTTCTCTTTTTGCTATTCCTTTTTGCTCCCTGTTGTGCTTTCCATTTACATAAGCTTGTTTAGGTAGGTTATTTGTAACTTTTTGTCTGTTCCTCTAGCCTTCAATATGTCCTGTGAGTGTTAGATTCTCCAAGTGCTCTTTCCTCATGTGTCTTAAAAATTTCAACTCTTCTGATTCAGAGTATAAGTGTCCCCTTTGCTTCTCTTTTTCCTAAAATTTGTACGTTATTCATATATTCAGTCCGTGGTAGGATGCGGTGGGGGTTTAGCGGGTGTAATGGATGACAACTAGATTTCTAAATCGGAGAGCTGAGTTCAAATCAAGGTTGTCACATTTACATACACAAATACCCTTGGGAAATGTATGAACTCATTTCTTCTCCTCTAGCTATGGGTTAAGTAGGACTTGTATCTGTAAAAGATATATGAAAAATATATAGAAAATAGGAAAGAACTCGTTAGGTAAATAATCCAAAGTTCTTTAGTATTTTTGTTATTATTTCTAAAAAATAATGCTCGATACAAAAGTAGAGCATAAATATAATTATTTATTTAAAAATATGATTCCAACACGCTACATAAGAGTTTCTCAGGTTTCAAAACAATGCGAAATTATATTGAAGTTTTCGGCTCTTCTTTTATATTATATATATATATATATATATATTATATATATATATATATATATATATATATATATATATGAATAAGCCTGTGCATTCAAAATTGATGGCAAGAAGGACTGTACTATAAGTAATATTTATTATACTGTAAGTAATTTTCGTTTAATCCAGGTACAATTTTTTAATTTAAAATAGTTTGTTGTTAATGTTGATAATTGAACAGTTTACAAATTATAAACATCTCAGGAAAGATATCCATATTTTATCTTCATTGTGTGTGTGTGTATGTGTGCGCACGCACGCATGCACACACACATGACTTTTGTGTACGCGGTTTTGTGACACACTTTGGGTGTTATTGAGAGTCAAATTCACTGAGAAATTAAAACATCATTGCCAGTGATAGTCGATTTCACAATCCAAGACACCTCAAAGAAAAGTAACTTTATGTGAAGTTTAATTCAAACTGAAATACAATATGAAACTCAGGTCAAGTTTTGTCTGACATATATTTATCTCCTCTCTCTATCCTTTGCTATTCCCTCCCTCCCTATTTCTCTTTCATTCTTTTTTTTTTTTTACAGTTGTGTATCTGTTTCTTTTTGTGGCTACGTTCCATCATTCTGTTTGCCTTGATCGTAGTTCGCAGAGAGAGGGAAAAGAAGGGGTTTGCTTTGTAGTTTGTCAGCATGGTAGCATTTTGCGTGTGGACTTGAATAAGGTCATGACTTATATGTGCATCTTATCTCAAAATTTTGCACACACACACACACACACGCAAATAAAGAAACAAAACAAAACGTGTGTGTGTGTGTGTGGCATATTATATTTAAGGATATTATATATAAGAATTAATGTAAGTAAAAGTTTGTCAGCTGATTGATGTTATTTTCAGCATTCCAACTCCAGAGTTTCGTAGATGGACTTGTCTGTCCACTCTTCAGTGGGTATCAGCAATTGACTGCTTATATTTCTTGAGTTTTCTTTTTTATGCATTTATCACTGGTATAGGTTTTTCCTTAATTGTGTGCATTTGCATGTTTACAGCCATGCGCATGGATGTGTGTACATGTAAAATAAAAGCCTCAAGAAAGATTTTTCATTTTTTAAAACATTCATTGTAAAACTTAGGTATTGCGAATGGGCTGAGGTATCTAATTTATAACTATATAATAATAATAATTTATTATGGTTAGTAAATAATATCTATTAGGTTGGTGCAAAAATAATGACGTAATGTCGTTTTTTGACGTTAAATAATACATCAAAAACTGACATTATTACGTCATTATTTTTGCACCAACCTAATATTTCGTATAAATATAAGTTCTCTCGAAGTCAAAAAGAGGTAAGTCTTGTCCCTATGGCATTCTGTCGCTGGATAGTGGAGGAATAGGAAGGTTGTTGGTGTCTTTTCCTTTTATATTGCTTTATACAACGCCACCACGTGAGCGTCAGAAGTATCCTAGCAGGTATATCCTTTGTATTTTTAAACGGACTCTCGCAATACAGGGTTATGGTAGAAGATTATGGAATGAGGTGTGTGATATGAAATTAAGATGAGATAGGAAGAAGTAGAAGCTTGAAATGAACAAATCAGGATTTTTGTGTTTAGGGAAGCATCAAAGTAGCAGTTCTCAGTGGTAAAAAAAAATGTTTTAATCATTTCGCCCCCAAGCAAGGCGATGAAGCCGCTAAGATGCATAGGCATTACGTGGAGTGAAAGAGAATGAGGAAAGGAGAATGAAGGAACAGGGTTCAGGAAGACAAAAGATGTCGATTGATATTGCATTTAAATTTTTGAAGATTGTAGGCAGCAGAGAAGCAAGAAATCGAAAAAACGAGTTCCACGGGTGAGAAGTGCGAGAAAAGAAGCTATTAGGAAGAAGATAATGAATATGTATAATAATTTGTAATGATTAAATGAAAATTTTCTTTTGGAGGCATTAAAATTTACAAGCCATTTCTTGCCCCAGTTAACCACTGACTGGAGGTCCTTTTCTAGATTAGTTGCCAGGTTGAAAAAAAACAATTGTAATAATTATAGCAAAATAAAAGTCCAGCCTCTTAGGCAGAGACGCTATTGTTCTAAAAAGAATAATCGTCAGTCTGGGCACTTATATGTAGTCTAATGGTTAGCAAGCTTATCTCGCTAGATCAGTTACGACAGAATAGTGAGTCCGATCCTCACTGGCCGTACCCTCCTTCGGCTTTAAGCCACATCTAAGTTGTGAAACTTAAATGTCTATTTTAATTTTTATATATATATATATATATATATATATATAATTATTTATTTAAAAAAATTATAACATAAATATGTTATAAAATCACTACAAAATAGCCATATATATATATATATATATATATATAATTATTTATTTAAAAAATTATAACATAAATATGTTATAAAATCACTACAAAAATAGCTATATATATATATATATATATATATATATATATATATAATTATTTATTTAAAAATTCTAACATAAATATGTTATAAAATCATTACAAAAATATATATATATATATATATATATATATATATATATATATATATATATATATAATTATTTAAAAAAAATTATAACATAAATATGTTATAAAATCACTACAAAAATAAACATATATATATATATATATATATATATATATAATTATTTATTTAAAAAAATTATAACAAATATGTTATAAAATCACTACAAAAATATATATATATATATATATATATATATATATAGAGGTAACAAAACTTTTTTCTTCTTAAAATCATTTGCCAGCTAGATTAGAGATTTCATTTTTTTTTTTTATCATTTCACCCCAAGGAAGGCAAAGTGGTTAAAGGGAGTGAGAGAGAATGAGAATAATTTACTAAGGAGAAATGTAGAAAGGACAATAAAGGAATAGCTGTCAAAAAGACAGAATATGAGGATTGACTTTGCATTTAAATTTTTGAAGATTGTAGGCGTCAGGGAAGCAAGGAACCGGAAGTGAGTTCCATAGGCAAAATGTATGAGAAAAGAAGCTGTTAGAATAAAAAAGGCGGTTACATGTAGCTAGTTCAAAAATTAAAATAACGTGACCTAGTTGCCAATCTAGTATCACACTTAAATTTAGTTGAGGGACTAAGAAAAAAAAAAGCTCATCAGTTGCCATATAAAAATATTGGTGCTGCTTTAGCGTGTGTCCGACCGACCAGTTTCCGCTTTAATGTGTATCCTACCAGCACATTTGTATCTTACATTATTAAGACATTGTAAATATATTTTTATCATTTCAACAATTTGTTCATATTTTTAAAGGATTTATTCAACCCATACAAGGTGTATTTTCAAGATTTTTACGCTAACATTGTTTCCAGTGAAAGCGCCGTGACTACTTCTTAATTGAAAAGGGATCACTGAAAGACAGGAATCTTCGTCAAAAGATGGGCCTGTCATTCAAATTACTTAAAAAAAAAAAAAAAAAAAAAAAAATTATTTTAAATTTTATAATAAAACAATAAATAGCACCTCTCATTCCGTTTTTGCTTTTCCCCTTATATTAGATAATGTTTGGGCACCTCGAGGCGGTGTAATGGTTAGCAAGCTTGTCTCGCTAGAACAATTACGACTGAGTATTGAGTTCGATCCTCACTGGGTGCCCCATACTTTCGGCCTTGTGCCATATGAAACAAAGCTTGGAAAAAAGCGGTGTTGGAAAATCATGGCACCTCGACTGAGTATTGGTTGATCCTAATGGTTGCCCCATACTTTCGGCCTTTGTCTCAAAGCTTAGAACAATTAGCAACGACTGAGAACAATTAGTGAGTTCGATCCTCACTAGGTGCCCCATACTTTCGGCCTTGTGCCACATCTAAGCTACGCTTAGAAAATCACTATATTAGATAATGTAGGACACAACTGTGGTGTGTAGGATACACTAATCGATAGGACGTACGCTAAAGCGGCACCAACTATCATATATATATATATATATAT